CTCCTAAGACACAAATGTGACCCTCTATGAGGTCACAGAGCTTAAAGAGGACAAAAACGAAAACAAAGGTAAAAAAAGGCAAAATTTGATATCAAGGGGCAAAAAGGTCAATTCACTATTAAAAGGAGAAACTTGACTCTAAACAAGTCAAACAAGGTTAATACAACCTAATCTAATCATTTTGAAACATTCCAAGAGGTTCCATGAACATTGGCTAAGAATCCCACAAAATGCCCCGTCCCGGTTGAAGTGAAAACTGACAATACTTCACTAAAAAATACATAACTCCCACTATATTTGGAATTTGAGAATGGTATTGGTACCATTGGAAAGCTGACTCAAAATTCTTAAGTTTAGGCTTAAGAATCACCCCATTTGGATTAGAAACGAAGAAGTTATGACCCGTTGAAGTCTGATGATCAGTGCTGAAACTCAATAGAAGCTAGGCTCGGGTTCTAGCTATTTCGGTCGACCGAAATAAAGTTTTGGACGACCGAAATAAAGATACTGAGACCTGAAATCATGAAGAAAAGGTTCCAATTGCTTCGATAGACCGAAATGACCATTGAACAATATATTTGGCTACTGGAATGTGATGTCACTGTGCAAACACAAAACCATTTGACATCGGTCGACCGAAATGGAGTTTCGGTCGACCAAAACACCACGAAATGCTGCTGAAAAAGCTACTATGAGTCCAAGGTGCTAAGGCTTAACCTCTACTTTGAATCCCATGATGATTTGATTCAAAATGAATGTACAAAATTGATTTTTCATGAGTTTTGAGAATGTAAACATGTCAACATGATTGATATGAGTAAATGAATATAAATCAATGGCTCATGGCCTCATACACTTCATTTACAAGATTTTGACTTCTCAAACCTCAAAATTTGATTAAAAGACATTTAAAGCAAAACTTTGATACAAAAAGTGTCTAAGTACAAAAAAAGACATGATTGGCCCTTGGCCTCATTACATACATGCTTCTAATGTCAAGAGTGATTAATTAAGTATCTTTACACATCAAAGAGGTTACATAATCTTCAAAAGTACCATACATACATGGTATACAAAATATAACTTCAAAAGTTAAGTCATGCTAAACACTTGTATGTTAATATACAAAGATGCTTCAAATAGCTCAAAAGCTTCTAAGGATGATGAGCATACATGAACATGGTCTCCTTACCTGAAAAACAACCCAAACCACTAGGGTGAGTAATCAAGTTACTCGTAGGAGAAACATATGCATATACCCTAAAGTTTCAATATTATTGCAAAATTAATATAGACGAATACAAGGGATCATTCCACTTAACGTCTATGTTCAAGGTGTTCTAAGGGATCATCTTAAACTAACTTAAATGATTATTTAGCAACACAAATAATTATCAATGTACTCAACAACATCAATTCGCCAATAAGAAGAATTTCAAGCTACAATTAAGTATTGGTTGTCAACTTGAAATTTAATGCGAAAACAAGTAATGGAAGACTTGGACATCACGTCTCGGACTTAACCAAGATCAATACGGTTATTCCAGGCATTAACCCACTGGGAAGACCACCCTAGTGCGCGCTATCTCAATTGGGGAGAACTCATACCTCTCGTACTAAAGCCAAACTTTAGCCATGTCACATGTAACAATGTCCCAAGAGATTCTAAAATATATATCAAGTTCAAAACCTATATATATATAATAAGGCATACAAACCACCTTCTATGCACAAGTATTTTAAAACCATACAAACTATGTCTTAGGGTTCCAAATCTAGAATGGTTTGCCAAATGACAAATTCACCTCAGATATTATGCATAATACAATATCATAAATTTATCAATTCAAGTCATGCCTCAATAACAAGCTCTATATACTAATTATCAACCTCATAGCAATAAGCTCCTAAATAATTACAATTAGTAATTCATAAGGGCATAGAATTATTGTAACAACAAATATAGCAATTCATATCAATAGAGATTACATATAACATCAATAATTCTACAAGTGTCCCACATCACTAACACATGTGAAATTTCTAGAATTTAGCATGCTACTAAATTATATAATCATCCTACACATGGTTTACACATATCATACATGCTTAAATCAATAAACCCTAAGTCAAGAAGTGAGGGTTTCCTATAATATGCAATACTATCATATCAAAAGCATGTACACAATATATATTAAACCACAAGGACTATAAAATACTTAGAAAATAAACATACTACCACCCCTACCTCAATAGAGAATTGATTCTCTATAATCCAAGCTACCAAGCACAAAATGGAAAACAAGGTTAGGATTCTTAAAGAGGAGAGTGAAAGGAATCTTTTCTCTCCCAAGGTTTCTACTCTAAAGTGTAAGGAAGTGAGCCAAATTGAAGGGAGAAGTATGAACTAAACTTTCCTCCAATGGTGGATTTGCTAGGGTTCATGAGAGATAATGAAATGAAGAAGGTAAAGTGTGAAATGGTGAGTGGAAGGGCTAGAAATCATCCACTCACTATGTGCTCTTACATTACCTCTCTCATACACACACAATGCAAGACTAAACCTTGATCCTACACTTGTCACTAATCCAATGCCTCTTCCAAGACTAAATCACAAGCCCACACTTGTCACAAATCAAAGGCTACATGTGCACTAATTTAAGGCCAACACATGGATGAATCTCCACCCACCAAATGCCAAGAAGTCGTGGTGCCAAGTCTCTTCACCTAAATGCCAACAAATGGCTCTATGAGAATGTGACACTTGTCACACTTTTCAAAAATTGCAAAATGATCATTTTTCAAAATATCTTCTAAAATAAATTACAAAAAGGACCCTAAAACGAAAAATAATTATTTTACATAATTACACTAAAACCCCAAAAGTTATAATTAATTACACTAAAGTATGCATTCATGCCCTTTACAAGAAAAATACTAATCTAGCATGCTTTTCAAGAAAAGTAAAAATACCAATGTCATGGAAATCAAATATCATGAATGCATGCAAAATCGGAATCAAATCCGAGCACAATAAGTGAAGTTATGCAAGAAAAAATGAAAAATAACTAAAAGACGAACTAAAGAAAGACAAAATAGAAAAAAGACGAAAAAAGAAAATCGCCGAAAATGGAAAAGGAGGAAAAAGACCGGGTCATTACATTAAGTGTCTTAATCCCCCTAACGATTCTCAAATACTTAAATTAAAGTCAATATGCAAAAGAAAAAGAATTAATAATTTTTTTTTAATTTTTGAATTTTTGAATTTTTTTTTTAAACAATTAGAGCAGACTCTATGCCCCCAAACTTGTATTGGACAGTGTCTTCAGTGGGCAAAAATCAAAGGCAAGAAAAATAAGGGATAGAACAATATTACCAAAACATGAGGAGATTGAGCGAAATAAAACTGGGTAATGAAATAGTTGGACACCCCCAAACTTGAATCTCAAAATCTATCAAAATAAATAACTCGGCACCACAAGTGAGTGTGAATGTATCCTTCCGCGGAGGGAGGAAATTAAGAATAACAATAATCATAAGCAAGAATGGAAAGAAAAATATCAGGGGCAAAAATGAAATTCACACTATAAGATCGACACACATTCAGAGAAGGGGGTACAGTGGGCTGAAAAGGCTCATTCCGAAAGAAATGGGTTGAATTTTTTTCTTTCAAACACTTAGTAGGCAACTTATATTAACCCACTTTACAAAATTTTTTATTTTTTTGTCCACAACACACAAGTGCACAAATGCAAACAACCCACTAAAAAACTAGTACCCAAATTGAATAATTACTGGACACAAATCACCAATTCTGACTATTTCAGGAACAACACTTTTTATGGACATAAAAATAGCAACAATTAAGCCCCCCACAAAATTTGCATTGCTGTCATCAACAATCACCCATCAAAATATCCATAAAGGCAGTCAACAACAATCCAACCACCCATAATTGACAACCCAATCAAAACCCTCGAATCATCACCTTCACACCACTGCAATTCGGCCACTGTAATTAAGGGACGACAAAGACGCTAGCAAACGACCAAAAGGTGGCCGGAGAAGACCCACGTCACCGGAAACGAGGAGAAACCAGCCAGCAAAAAAAATAAAAACATATAAATTGGGCCAGCGGGCTGCTGCTGCTTCGCTGGAAAAAAATTTCCGGGCGATGGTCGCCGTGAAGTCGGGCGATCATTCGCCCGGCGCTGCTAATGGGCCGTTCGAAATAATCACCGAGCGATGGTCGCCCGGCAGCCGGCGATCATTCGCTCGGTACATGATACTAATACGATTGATTTTTTTTTTTGAATTAACGAGTTATACTAAACTATAAAAATAAAAACTAAATAAAATATTCTAAACTGTTCTACAAAATAAAAACTAAAAGAAGGGAAGAAAAACTAAGAAAAAATAGATAAAATAACTCACCCAAAACTAGCCTACCCCTAATCTATAAAAGTAAATAAATTAATTAAATATAGACAAAACCAAAGAAAACAAAATAAAACTAACCTAAAAACAAATAAAAATAATAATCTAACCTAAGAATTTTTATTTATTTTTTAATAAAACTAAACCACTAAACAAGGTGAAAATAAAATAAAACATAATCTACAACTCCTACATTTAACGTCGGTAGGCGACGAGGTACCTGGTTGATTAGGTGGAGTAAATGGGATTCGTCAAATTGACGAATTCAACTCCTTCTGTAGGCACGGAATCTTCAATGTACCAATCCGTCCGATCTGGCCGTAGTGTCTTCTTTCTTGACGCCTTCCAATTCATAATATCAGCATACCGTGGTGCAATCTTCTTCTGAAGTTGAAATAGTTGCTTATCCGGGAATGAATTATGCAACAGAAGAGTGTTTTCTGGCCAAGATATGCATACTTCAAATGAAAGGGTAACGGCTTCAGCTCTAGCGCTGGTGGAGACTTCAAAGATGGCGTAGGTGGTTCACTTGACAATGGTAGAAGTGGCTCAATAGGAATTTTTCATGGTGGAATGTTAAGCATATTGGCTCCATCAAGAATGACATTCACCTCTTCAGTGCTTTTGTCGATGTCAAAGGACTCGTTATCAAAGTAAGATAGGCATGCTTCTAGTGGATCTTTTGTCAAGGCAAATGGGGCCATCTCTTCAACACATTTATCGATGGAATCGATAAGAAAACAATCTTTATCATATAAAGGGCAATTACTGGCATTGAAAATATTTAAGCGCACCTTCATATTGCCAAAAGATAAGTCCATGACGCCATTCCTACAATTTATGCTTGCATTTGCTGTCGCAAGGAAAGGACGACCAAGGATCACTAGAATGTGCCCCCTTGACTCTGGAACTGGCTCGGTATCTAGCACAATAAAGTCCACTAGGAAATAAAATTTATCTACTTTGATGATCACATCTTCGATGACACTATGGGGTTGTTTGGTTGACCTATCAGCCAATTGGAGAATAATTGAGGTTGGTTTCAATTCTCCTAATCCGAGTTGCAAGTAAACTGAATAAGGAAGAAGGTTTACACTTGCACGCAAATCTAGGAGAGCTCGCTCTACTTGATGATTCCCTATTATGCATGAAATTGTTGGAGCGTCTGGATCTTTGAATTTTGGAGCAGTGCATTGTTGGATTATGGAACTGACTTGTTCAGCTAATAGCACCTTTTTAGGAACATGGCCACTTGAACGCCTCTTCTGAGTACACATATCTTTCAAAAATTTGGCGTAAACTGGAATTTGCTGAATTGCATCAAGCAATGGGAGATTAATCTTCACCTGTTTGAACATCTCCATTATGTCCTGAAGTTTGCTTGCTTGCTTCGTTGCCTTTGATGTTTCTTGTAGTCTTTGAGGGAATGGCACAAGTGCATGCCTTTGTTCTGGAGATGGCTCAGTAGTTGGAGGTTCTTCTTGTGCTTTTTCATTATGCTCCTTATTCTCTTCAAGTATTTTCTTCCATTTTTCATCCTTCTTTGCTTCATCTTCTTCCACCTTGTTTTCAACTCTCTTACCACTTCTTAAAGTAGTAATTGCTTGCACTTGTTCATGGCGGACTTCTTGGCCAGTAATGTCATCAATTATACGCACACCTCTTGGATTAGCTACTGGTTGACTAGGAAGCTTGCCATTCTCTCTTCTATTCAAGGCTTGAGCTAGTTAGCCAACTTGAGTCTCGAACTTGGCAAAGGATTGAGAATGAGGCTGCACGAGTTGATTAGTTGGCTCTAACTGCTTTGCCATCATTGCCTCGAGCATTGATAAGAATTTTTGAGGTTGACTGAAGGCATTCATAGGAGTGAATCCTTGAGGATTTGAAGTCTGAAATGGAGATTGAAAATTGCCTTGCACTTGAGGTACTTGAGGTGGAGGAGCTGATGTCCCTGTGGCTAGATTTCTCCAAGAGAAGTTTGGATGATTTCTCCAAGCCGGATTGTAAGTGTTTGAATACATATTATTCCCTCCGGGCGTTCCATAGGCAGCATTAACTTGCTCTTGTGAAATTCCTGAATGCAGAGCTGCACTTGGACAAATGGACACATGGTGAGTTGGACTGGAACAGAAAGAGCACACTTCAAAGCCTTGAGCATGAGTCGTAGAAGGAGTAAAATTTGACTGTGAAGTCATTAATTGATCCATCTTCTTGGTTAATGCCTCAATTTGGCTCACTAGCCCTTGATTTATTCCTGTTTCATTCACACTTTCTGCTCTCCTCAATATGGTATGAGGTCGTGCTACTGGAGGTAAGACATGTTGTGTAGAATTATTAGATATATTTTCAAAAAGCTGTCATGCTTCCTCTACACTTTTCAACATAAAATTTCCACCACAAGAGGCATCCACCATATACCTTTGTGCCTCATTGAGCCCCTTATGAAAGAAGTTGACAAGCTGCCATTTTGGCATGTCATGATGAGGACACTTTCGAAGGAGGTCTCTAAATCTTTCCCAAGCCACATGAAAAGGCTCGTCAGGCCCTTGAGCAAAATGAGTAATAGCATCTCGATATTGAGTAGTTCCCACCATGGGGAAATACTTATTTAAAAACTTTTGTTGCAATTCAGCCTATGTAGTGATGGTGTCAGCTGGCAATGAATTAAACCAATCATTCGCCTTGTCCTTCAATGAAAAGGAGAAAAGGTGTAGCTTGAGCACATCATCGTCAAAACTCTGGATTTTTATTGTTCTGCACACCTCTGCAAAGTCATCCAAGTGTCGGTATGGATCCTCTTTTGATAGGCCGTAAAAATAAGGCAGTAACTGAAGAGTACTGGCCTTAATTTCGTAGTAAGGGGCCCTCACTTGAGGATACCGAACTGCAGATGAAGAATTATATGCACCTATTTCGTAGTGATCTTTTAAACAGCGAACTGCTTCTGTAATTGGTAAATCATCCGCCATCTTTTCTTTCTTCAAGTTTCTGAGAGTCCTTTCAATTTTTGGGTCTAACGGAAGCTGAGGGAGTGACAAGAACGTCTTTCAAGCACATAATGTCACCTACAATAATTAAAAGAAAATAGTATCAAAATAAAGAAAATTAAATAAATTAAATTAAATTAAATTAAAATCCTAAACTTGAAATTAATTGTAGAATTTAATTTTATCTGTTAAGAACTAAAACAAGTCCCCGGCAACGGCGCTAAAAAACTTATTGTGAGATTTATATATACCACTCGCAAGTGCACGAATCTTTGCAGATAGGGTTTACTTGTAAGGGTGTTGAACCCAAGGGACTTGTGTAAAATAAGTTTGTCAACAGATTTCTTAAATTCCAAATTAACTTAAAAGTAGGATAATCTAATCATGATGACTAATTCTAAATTAACTAAATAGAAAATAAAATAAACTAAAGAACAATGATTAAATATGATGTAGAAAATAGAGAGAGAGGACTAGGGGTATGATTTCACTACTAATGTCGCACCACCAGTTAATTGCATCAGTTTATTAGAGATATATCATATAACATTTATAGAGAATTAATTATGGCTACAAGCACATATTAATTCAGTTAGAAAAAAATATAATTTAAAGTTAAGCATGGACTATCTTCGATTGGTATAAACCATCTACCTAACTACTTTACTTTAGGGTGTAGAATGGTCTATCTTTTCTAAGCAGAATCTATCAAATCTCTAACATTATATTCAGAGAAATACCATTGTGTAATCATCTCATTCACAACTACAAGAAGCGAATGAGTTGTGTTCAATCACAATATCAAAATATCTAAGACAAGATAGAAAAATATTTGTAATTGAATTAAAACTTTAAAACCGATTCTTATTGAAAATTTAATTAAAAACCCTATAGATTACACAATCATGCATGATAAAAATTATTTTCCAATAATTAAATACAATCAAACCAGTGTGCTAAGCTAAGGCTACATCACAACCCAAGCAAAGTGTTTAGCCAAGCATGACTGGAGTGGAATTCTTCATGGTTGAGGAAAACATCTTCACCACCATGGATCGATCTCTTTTTTCTTCTGAATGCTCCTCTCTGGTCTCAGCCTTAAGCTCCTCTGCTTTATCCTTCAATGCTGTAAAGGACTCCCTTTAAATAATAAAATATCGGCCCTAAAGTTCCCTTTTTCATATAGGAGACATACATAGAAATTCTGTCAAATAAGGATTCTAAAATTCGTGCAGACTTCCAAGCCAATTTTGACAAGGTAAATAGTCGTATACAGCCAGATTATCAAAACGGGGTCAAGTTACCAACTTTGGCGAAAGTTTCCTTTTTGGAGAAGGACTTTTTCTTTTCTTCTTCTTTCCATTCTCATCAACTTATGGCTTCTTTTGGACTATTTTCTAAGTATAATTAGACTTGGATCTTCAACATTGCTCAGTCCAACAGAATGTCATCTTTAAAGCTCAAAATCACTGATTTTGACTGATTTTACAATTAAAGCCCTGAAATAAATAAAAACAATAAAACAATGTAAAATCTCAAATAAACTACTCTTAAGATAATAAAACATGCAAGTAAAGGGGCTATAAATGAATAACATTCAGCGCCTAACACCTAGTCGTGTGGGTTATTTTATAAGTAAGGAGACTATGTTCTTGGATGCTCATCCTCCTTAGGAGCTCATGAGTACTTTGAAGCATTTTTGTATATTGACATGCACATGTTTAGCATGCCTTCCTTTTGGATGTTATATTTTGTATACCATGGATGTATGGTATTTTAGAAGCTAAGATGGCTTCCTTAATGTGTAATGTATATCTAAGAACACTTGAAGATGCCTATTTTGTATGTATAACATGAGGCCAAGTGATATGTATATTTATATCACATGTATGCTAGTTTAATTCCATAGTTTGTTTTTATGAAATTATGAGAATTCGAGGTTTGATAGGTCATATTTTGTATATGACATACTATGTGGCCATGGGCTATTGGAACATGTGTATTTATTCATTTTACATATGCGTGCATGTTCACTTTGGCACACAACACCATTCTTGATGAAATGAACACTTAAAGTAACATTCATTTTCACATTTTTGCTAAATCTGACCTTAAGGGTATTTTTGGTATTTTACTAGAAAAATAAATGTTGGTATTGACATGGTTGACCAGAAAACATGATTTTAGGGGGGGGTTACTTCACAACTTTTTTCCAAAAAAGGCCCAGATGACCTCAAAATCACATTTCAAACTCAAAAGCTATTTTGCTTGTCTACAGGATAAGCGCTTGCCCATGGGGGACGAACGCTCATAATCAAGGCAGTGGGCACTGCCTTGGCGTGCTCATTTACGAGGGCTTGTAGCCTTTGTACGAGCGCTCATCCATCCTTTTTTTAGCACTGCACCTCAAACTTCAAATCATCATATCTCATTTCTTAACTCCAAATTGGTCCATTCTTGAGTCTAAATTGACTGTGTCGAAATAAGCTTTCCAATGGTACTAATTACAGCTTCAGATTCTTCTTGTAACTTAAGATATTCAAGTTTTAGTGAGATAGTGTCAGGATTTGGTTCGAACCGGGATGGGGTTTCTCTTCCTTCGACTTTGAGATTTGATATTTTTGTCGTCCGGACTATAAATCAAGTGATTCTTGAGTCCATCCTTGTTAATTTTTCGTCGTCTTTCCAATAGTATGCACGATGGCATCCATCTTAGTTTAAAATGACCATTTTAACCTTGGTTAATTTCTTATCGGATTTAACATTGTTGCTTCATTGCTTGGCTCATTTGAGTTCCATAGCTTCATGGGGAGTCATTTTGGTGCCTTAGGGATGACGTACATCTCTAGAGGTCATTTTACACATTTTGCTTCCGCATTTCGGATCCGTCAACGGGTCACCTTTCGGTCATCACTGACGCAACAGGTTTATAAAACTTGGGCCATCACAGTCTGCTTCACTCTTCCAGATTATCTATATAGGAGTTCCTTTATGTTTCAGTATTCTGATGTAGACAGTTTTCTAACATTTGTTCAGTTGGGATTTTTAGGGGTCCACATAGTATGGATTCCCGAGTTGTATTATTTTGGAGGATTAATTATATCAGAAGAGTTTATTTATTAATGGAATTTTATTCTGAGGAATCATTAGATTTATCATTTTAGTTTCTTTTCAGCATTTTATTTATTCTTATTTATCATATTTGTATTCTGTGTTCGATTTGTTTTTTATATTCTCGGGTATTCAGGCGTGGGCCTGGCTAACCCGTATCTAGAATTCTGGGGGCATCATAGAAATTAATCATCTTCTTCAAAGCATCAGGTAAAGATTTGGTAAGTTCCTTATTTTCTCTTTCTATTTAAAATAATATTCCTTTGTCTCTGTCTTTTATACTGGATTCTTCAAATCTCCCTTTAGCATTATTATTTTGCCTGTTTTAGTCCATCAGAGCTCTATTAAAAAAAACTATTGGTAGCAGTGAGGCTAGATGGTGTGTCCTTGAACCAAAGCTTGCAAAAGTGTGTAGTGTGGCCAAGTTTAAATTTAGAAAATGCCACTACCACTTCCAACTAACAAAATATAGCTAGAGTGAGTAGCGATCGTCCCAAGGGAAAAGAGGTGTTTTTGTGATGGAAACTAATGTCGGATTAATAGGTCAAGTGATCAAAGATTGTTGGTGATTGGTTAATTAAACTACAATGCAATTAAAGATTAATGCAAGTAAAAAGAGAGCAATCTAGAAAGTAGGGAAAAGATATATGAGAGAGGTCTTGGGGCTTAGAGTCATCACTAAGCTTCACTTCATCAAACACTAGCAATTGTACATTAATGGGGAAATTTAAATTGTAACTTGTGTGTGTGTGTGTCATCACTTAAAACTAAGCATGGACGGCAAATAAGTATAGATTGTCTAGCTAATTTTAATGAATAGCATAACCTATCAAATGAGACCAAAATCCATTCAATTAAACCACAATTAATGCACACACAAATATCTAGAGATATGCACTCTTTGCATTTGCAAGCATGGAACATCAAGAAATAAGAATGGATTGTTCACCTACCTAAGAATTTAAAGCAATTACATTATAACTAGGCTAGAGACATGAAATTAAACTAATTAAACTCGAGATGTGATACAACCCATTAAGAAACAAGTGTGAACCATCAAATAAATCACAAGAGTGTTCCATTAAGCACTATGCCTTGACCATCACTAGATTAACATCATCAACACACATAGACATGTATCAATTTCATTAAATCTAGAGATAAAAATATGAACATCAATTCTAGCATATATAGACATATGACTAGAGCCAAATGATCAATTGAAACATTAATCCATACAAATCAAGTAGAAATCACAAGATCTATATTTATCCATGGTCAAAACATCTATTACAATTAAAATTCCCAAAAATACACAAAAGCTAGGTTTGAGAAGCAAGCCTATGGGCTATCTTTAGCCCCAAGAGAAGGATTTAGCCACTCATTGTAGTGGACATGGAACCCTCAAGGGCTAACTTGGAGGTTGACATCATTATCTTCATCCTTGCTTTCTTCCCAAAACCTTAGTTCTAGAGAGGAAAAATTATTTTTTCTAT